CGCTCCTTCCTTGATGGGTGACGAGCGTCACCAAAGGTGGTGACAAGCGTCACCATAGGTGATACTTTCTGCTTCGAGCTTGGTACTTCGTGGCTTCCACCCAGAATGCTCCATAAGGTTCTAAAATCTCCAATTATGCTCCAGACATGCTATAACCTGCAAAGACTCTTCTAGGACTCTAAAAAGACCAAAAAGACTCAATAAAAAGGACTTATATCATGGTTAAAAACCATAAAAACTATGATATATCACACATCTAGGAACTTGTCTTCTCTTTATTTAAAATCATGAATTTGCCAATTACTCTGTTTATTTGCTCTGTTCTTGCTTTATATGATCATTGCTAAGTGTTCTCTTTGAGTTCTGTTGGTGTTTGATCATCTTAGGTTGTTAGTTTGGTTGCTTTGCAACATAATCTTCTCTGTTTCACCTGCCTTAGAGCTTTCTATTTGCAACTATTCTGTCTTTCAATCTCAACCCCTTGGATTGACAATAAAACCCAAATACTACAACTGACTAGTACAATGGATGATTGACATAAGAGGTCAAAACTCTTGTATCACTCGTCAGACTCCACCTGGATATGATCTGATGGAGAATTCCTCTTCGGTCTCTTGGAAGGAGATCCTGCGGGGATGGCAGCTTCTACTGTTGAAGCTATATTCCTCCTTTTGAGACCCATCCTTTTCGATTCAGATGGCGTTGTTCTTTTGAGGGCTGAAACATCAAGAACGCAAGGATACATGGTCATATTTTGAAAACAAAAGCAATACTATTTGTCAAAGAAATTAAGGAATACCTATTTTTGGAGCTTTGGTTTCCATCACCTGTGACTTTGGAGCCTTTACTCTCTTATCTGAAGGATTCATCTTTTTTTTTACAGGCCAAAATCCCTGGCTAAATTTTTGGAGCTTGGTGACGTCAATGTTGAAACCAAAATGGTCCGTCCCGAGATTGACTTTCTCTGCAAAGAACACATAATTACATGATTAGTATTCTCTTTTTGGCGAGTTGTATCTATCGAAAAGCTAATCTATCTACCATCCTTAGCACCCCCCCCCCCCCCCCCCCCCCCCACACATCAATGTCGTAATTGCCGATCGACGCCTCATTAATGTTCATAAAGAAATAACAAATATCCCACTCGTGGACTTTACTCGCCGGATCCCCTGCAACGATACCAAATTTCATCGTTGTCTAAAAATGACGGGGCCTTCCTAAAACGTCACTCTTCTCGCTGTTAAGGATTAAGATCCTCTCGAAGATATCCCAGTTAAAAGATATTTCGGTAGCCCGGGTTACCGCCACCATACAATTGAAGTGACGGATTACAGTATGAGAAATCTCTCCCAATGTGTCCTTCCGGCATTCACAATAGCGGAGAAGGAGCGTCGAGATTGGGAAGATGAACCCGAATTCAGCAAAATGACTCTCATACACGCAAAAATAACCTTTCGGAGGCTTCAAAACTCTCTCGTGAGACTTGGGGAGTAAGATCTTGACTCCATGAGGGAAATTGCATCCTTTGCAAAGCTCTTGAAGTCTTTCAGCAGTTATCCAAATCCTACCATCTTTAACCTCCGTCTCGTGCTTCGACATTTCAATCTTTTGGGGTAGACCATTTACCCGCGCTTAAAAATCAGCACCTTCCAGATCCATTTCAGAATCTATATCCGAATCATCTGAAGAAATTATATCGCGATAACCCACAGACTCATCAGATATCGAAGGGAAAATGAGAGAAATTTTTGTTCTCGGCCACCTGACAATCTCGACTATTGGGGTATCGTCGTTATCTACTACCTTGCCTTTCCCCTTTGAACCAGCAGAATTCATGGCCAATTGAGGAAAAAAGAAAGATGATCACAAAAAAGATAAAGAGAGAGAAACTCTTGAATATATCAGGAAATCACGACAAAAAGGAACCACGGAATCTATCACAGGCGATATCGCAGAATCAAACAGAGTGTGAAGAGAGAATTTTTTGCAGGAACAACAAAGAAATGAACTAGAAGCAAGAGTTTTTACCTTGAATTGATATAAGACTCAGGGGAGCTTATATGAACCTGATGGGGGATGGAGAATAAAAGTTGGTGTTCGCTCTCTCTTGCACTCGTTTGATGGTCGTTGATGGGGATCTAACACGCTGGCGGTCGCTCTCTCGTGTGGGATCTGTTTGAATGAGTTTGTTGGCGGATCGAAGTGTACCACAAAGTAGTGATGAAACTCTGATACAAAACTGACTTAACCTCAAGAAATCAAGCAAAAGTGAGAAGAACTTCTCAAGAATAAAGAAAGTGCAGCGTCTTTATTGATAATCAAAAGGTAACCAAGAATACATAGTTGCAAGGGGACCTTATATATGGTCCTATCAGCTAGCCCTATGGCTGAAAGTAAAAGCAAAAGAAACGACAACATGGTTTGCTATAAAATGCTAAAACTAGGATAACACAAAAGGAAAGTTCATTAAAGTAAAAGAGAAAATAAACTAAGCCGCTTCTTCTTGACTCTAGCTGGGACTCGAACATGGGTGCCCTTGGGGGTTGTTAAGAACCGTTGGGACACGTTGCTTCACCTGCATGAACAATATAAATTGAATGTACCTTAGTGAAGCGTGCGTGGTCATGGTTAGGGCTTTAGCCGGTGATATAGGTGCTTGCTCCATTTGAGGTAGCATCCTTGTCCTCCTGTTGTCCTTTGGTAATAGCCCTTGATGAGCCTTTCACCGTAGCTTGATAGTTGACCTCTAAGAAGTCATCTTGCTCCTCTTGTACTCCCACGCATAGGCTCGATATGGCGGTTTCTTGGAGTATGGGTGGCTCCTCTAAGATGTTCGTTCTTACATGGTTAGTCCTTACTGAATTATGGATAAAAGGGTTTGCGGACTTACCTTAATCAGGCGATGTGATGATGAGCCAGGTGAAGCCTTCAAAAATATCATGTGTTCAGCCATCGTCTACGGTACGGTCATTACAGTGATTACGGCCCGCGGTACGACCCATTGTACCGTGAGCACGTCCCGTGGAACGACCCATCAAACCGTCATTACACATGTCCTGTCCCGTTCTAAGCGAGGCAAGCTCTTCTGATCCGAATGATTGCAGGATGTTTTCTATGGCCAAGTTGAACCTTTTCCCCAGTTGCTCAGTTCGGGAATGTGTCATAGGGGCTTCACGCACCTCGAGTACTTGGCCAATATCATCATTAGGATCGATGTCCGCATCATGAATTGAGGTGAATGACGAAATAATGATTTCAAAAGAAAATCGAAGGAAATATCAACAGTGATCTCATCGACTGACACCTTTGCCTTTCCCACTCAACAAAAACCCTAATAAAAATGGGCCGTGTAAAAGGGGTCCATTAATGCAAAAGCTAAAACGAAACTTTAGGCAGCTTGAAGACCAATTCGAACTATCTAGAGAGCAGAAGAACAAGACCTAGAGTTCCAAGCTTTCTAGTGCATTACCTTTAAATATTTTCATTCATTTCGGCAAGACCTCCAGATCATGCTATCTTGTTATCGTTCACAGCTTTGAACTATTAATAATAAGATCTATTCTCCAAAATCCATAAAATGTTTATTACTTATTAATATTGGTAATATTTTGCTTTAACAATACCAACCAAAAGACAATAAGAAAAAAAGAAACTCACACTTTTGATTAGTCAAAAATCATTCAGTTCAAAGTTCAAACTGTATTGCTGTAATTTTGGATGATGAATACTCCAACATATTTGGTTCGGAGCGATCATACCTAATCCGTTGCGTTGGAAGCGGTTCAACATTATGTGAACTGTTGAAGTTATCTACTACTCTTATCTTAGAAATATGAAGTTCTGAACTTGTTGGGTTTTGGTCACTGTTTTCATAGATTTCATTGATAAAGAATAAAATTGCAGTGTCGGAGGACATTAAAAAGAGACATGTTTAATTGTCTCTGCTTCTCCTCCCCCGTACACATTTCGCATCAAAACATTAATTAACAAAACAAATAACCTATTTTGGGTGAACATTTTATTAGCTATTAACTATTAGTTAGTATTTTAAAACAAAACCATAATTAACAAGATTAGATTCTCTATCAGTTTTACTAGGTTATTACCAGCACGTTAATGTTTGTAAAAATATTAAGAGATATTCTATAATTTGTTAAGTTTTCAAAAATATTTGGGTATCTAAAAATGTTCAGTCGAGATTTGAGAAAATTTAGTTATTTTTGTTTTTAAATTAAACTTACACAAAACGAGATTTACATTTACTTTCGTCCCTGGTTTCAAAAAATTATATTTTTTCCGTTTGTATAATATGTGAATCAAAGCTATTGCAAAACAATAAATACTCCTAGATCTAAAACATGGAATTATTTTTATTTCTATTAATAAAGCAGGTAACTAATTTAATTTACTAAACCAATAAAACCATCGAACTATTTGTGATTGATTCGATATAAATTTGATTTAATTTAAGTGATTTAAAATAAATGTTTGGTAATAAAGAGAGCACATAAAAATAAATCAATAAAAAATATTAGAAAAAGGAGATAATGAAATCTAAGCTAATGCTTCCTGTTTAATACATGTTAGATACTTTAAAAAAATAAAGATTCACTTAATTTTTCTGTCATATTTATTTAAATCAAATTTTTTTAAATTATATACAAACAACCTAAAAGTTCAGTTAAAAAAAATATACAAACAACCTAAATATTAATTATAGATTTTTAAAACATTAAATACAATTAAAAAGTAAATAATTAAAGAATTTTTTGTTTTGTTGCAAGAAAAATTGTGTTTGGTTGCAAGAATAAATTATTTAAGTTTTTTACTATTATTGAGATTTAAAAAATTTAAAATTCTGAGATAATGACACAACTAATACTCCCTATTTAATATATGTTAGATTTATAAAAACAAAACGTTTAGTAAACATTAATTAATATGTAACATAAGTAATATATATATGAGATCATATTATGTTTTTGAAAACATCGAAACAAAAGACAACAAGAAACCAAAAAAAAATTATTTATTTCTTCAGATATTCTTGAAGTTTTACAAGAAATGAAGACGATTGTATTGTTTTTAATTATTACAATTCTTGTTTCATCATGTAAGTTTATTTGGAGATGAATGATAAACTTATATGGAACTTTTTAGTTGTTTTGAATAATATTATAATTTAAAAATCTAATATTTTTGGTTTATATATTTATAGGTGCGTCAAATATTATGACACAATCTTCGTCACAAGTAAAAGCTCCTTCTTACTATGATGAACAGAAACCCGAAACGGATTCAGATGAATATAATCTTGGACACTCTCCTGCAGACTTCGAATCAGACTTTTGCCAAGAATGTGCACATCATTGTATGTATAAAAACAAGGGTGTATTTAGTTGTAAGAAATATATTTGTAGGTGTACCTGGAATGAACTCTCTTAACATATTGTATTTTATTTTATAAATTCATAAGATCAAAGATTACAATATAATTAATTGATTTTCTATATTTAAAAATATTTTTTGACCATATATATTTATTAAAATGTTATGAAAACATGTTTAATTATAATGTATCTTTGACTTTGATATAAAACTTTCTCTCATTTTTTTATTAAATGTATTCTAATTTAGTCAACTTTCACCAAAATAGCCATATGGAATGACAAATTATAATTTCGATTCATATATTTTTTTAAACATATACCAATTTTAAGCAGTAATTATTCATTTTTCTACGATTTACAATCAAATGAAATTGTTTTTATACAGACTTTAGATTTGTTATTAAATCCTTTGGAATCGATGTATGACAGATATTTCCAACTAGCACATCAGTATAGGAAACATGCTATTTGCCACTGGTAAAGTTTCATCATGTTTTGATAATCATTTTATACGAATCATCAAAGCAAATCCATTGCCAATTTTCAAAAAAAAAAAAAATTCAGAAGAAATCGGACAGACATTCAAAGCAATTGTGATGGTAATAAAATTCCTTCCAAATCTATCACAAATTTGCTACTGATTATAAACATTTGGCGCGGGTAAAGTTTAATCATATTTTTATAAACATTTTATACGAATCATCAAAGCAAATCCATTGCCAATTTTCGAGAATCAAAGCCAGAAGAAATCCAGTAAGCTTTCCAATAAGCTTTCAAACCAATTGTGATGGTAATAAATTTCCTCGCAAATACATCACAAATTTGCTACTGGTTTTAACCAAACAGATATATTAATGCATTCATATTTTAAAACAATGCCAAATTCATTATGTTGGATGTGGTTCCACACTTTGTAAGAGAAAAAGCCTAAACAACGACTATCGGCTTTACTAGCCAACACGAACCGACTAACGAACGGTGTGAACTCACGCTTTTACTGGAAAAATGTCAATCGCCCTCGAGAGGTGATGGCCCCGGGGACGAGTTGCACAAAGTCCGTGTGCGCGTGGATCAAACGTAACCGTCAGAACGTCTCGATCCCTGTGACGGGTCTTATGGAACCCATGGCTGTAGACGAAACATGGTCGTCTCGAAAAAACAGTCTAGGCTTACGCACGGCCCCCAAGTTATATCATTCTCGCTTGCATGATTCTGTGACCTTTTTACTTGCATGATTGTGTGATTTCTTCGCTTGCATGATTGTGTGACCTTTCTGCTTGCATAACTGTGTGATTTCTTGCTTGTGTGACTGTGCAATTTCTTGCTTGCATGACTGTGTGATTTCTTGCTTGCGTGACTGTGTAATTTCCTGTTTGTGTGATTGAATGTTTTCTCACCCGCATGACGTTACGTTCTTTCTCGTTTAACTATCATCTACGTTCACCCTTCGACTTTTGTAACTCTTCTTCAAAACCCCTTTCTTAGCATGCGCCCCGCGGACTTGTTTGTCCTCCGAGACACCATTCCTCCGGAAATTCAGGACTCCGGTCCAGCAGGCCCCTGCGGCCCTCTCTACGACTGCTCTCTACGGAGACAGCGCGCATCCTAAGCATCCTCTCCCGCGGACTTGCTCGCCCCTATGGGTCACCCCTCCTCTGGCAGTCTGAGGCTCCGGCCTCACAGACCTCCAAGTCTTCCTAGCCAATCTCCTCTAGCGGGCCGTGAGACAAACAGCATACTCCCCCCCAAGGACATGCTTGCCACTCAGGCACAACAGAAATTGAGATCGTCTACTCACAAACTTGCTCTTCCTGATAATTTCCCCAACCTCTTCCCTCCGGGTTATGTCACAAGAACGTTCTTGAAATGCAGAAACTTCCGCGTAAGCACAACGCAAAGACTGTCCAGGCAAAAAGAGAGTCAAGGTAACGCCCTCGGGAAACGTCCTACTCTGCACCAGAACTCCAATTCTATAAAGCCAAAATGCACCTTAGACATCTAATTCCTTAGGCTAAGCATACAAATCCTCTAAGAGACTCTAAGCAGCATTTCATCAAACACTTACCAGGCGCAAGAGAAAGCCAAGATACTAAACAAGCCTGGCCAAGACTAATCTAGTGTTAAGCACATCTAATAGAGAGAAGACAATCATATTAAGCATAAGACATCACTAATCTAGTCCTAAAACCCCTCTAATCTATCCCATCTCAAACCCTAAATAAGACTACTCATTAGCCATAGTCAAAACCACAAATTCCAAAGAGAAAAGATGGTTAAGCATGATTAGGAAGCAGAATAAACAAGAATAGATCAAAGGCAAATACAGAAATTCACTAAATCAAACTAGTTCTTACAAAGCAAAGCTGAAAAAGGAAAGGTTTTTAGTACAAGAACAGAAGAAAAATAATAAGATCCAAGTTGCCTAACCATTTTAGGACTTTAGTATTTATAGGGAAAAAAGAAAACCCCTAGTAAACCAAGATTAAACCGAAAATAAGCTGACTCGGACATACCATATCGACTGTGAACATCGATACACATGTCGATATCATCTCTTCTTCTGGGTTGTATCGATGTCTTCTGGTTGATATGCACGTCGATACTGAAGGCTTCCAAGTTGTATCGGTTTGGTCTCGAGGGTGTGAAGTCGATACAATCGCCCTTTAGTTAAGGCTCATCGATCAAGCAAGTCGATATGGCACCTCGATATTATCCTGTCATGTGTATCGGTTTGAGAAATCGATACACTGCTCGATATGGACTCCATTCTGCTGCATCGAGGTTTCTAAGTCGATATGCTTCCTTCACACTATGCCTTCACTGTATCGATGCTGAAATGGTCGATACTCCCTATCGATATGCTTCGTATCGATCACATGATGTCGATATCACCATCGATATTGGTCCATCTGCCTTTGTCTCTTGCCTTGCTCCATTCCCAGCTCACACCCATTGCACCGCATGACCTCCACACTCCTTCAAGTACCTGAATGAAACTCCAAATGAATGCAAAATGCAATGCAGCTCCTAAAACTACACTAACTCCTAAATGTATGCAAATAGGACAAGAAGAAGCAAAATATGCATGTTTAGAGACTAAAACTAGTCATGAATGCAAGCTAAAATGGTATAAATAATGGAGATATCATTTCTCTTGTATCTGAACAGATTTGACTTGATACTCTTTGTAGTGGCTTTGTGGATCAACATTTTGAAGAGGTTTGATGGCTCCATTGAACAGCATATCCACCTTTTCTTCCAGGGCCTTCATCTCATGCAGTGCCGTATCTAGCTTCTCTTCAGCTGCTTCGGCATGTTGCTTCTTTTCATCCACATAGTCCCAATTACTGAGCGCCATGTTCTCTACTAGTAGCAATCCTTCATCAACATCTTTGCCAAGGAAATAGCCATTGCTTTCTGTATCTAGAAGGATTCTTATGGTTAGGAGAACACCTCTATAGAGTGTGGATAGCAGCATTTCTTTGGTGAAGCCATGTTGAGGGCATTGGTGAGTGAAGCCTCTAAACCTTTCCCAAGTGTCTCCAAAGCTCTTATTAGACCACTGTTTAAAGTTTGTGATTTCATTCCTGAATTATGCAGTTCTTGAGGGAGAGAAGAACTTGGTTAAGAAAGCACTTTTGCATTGTTCCCAAGTGGTGATGCTGCCTTGTGCTAAAGATTTTTCCCACATTTGAGCTCTATCACCAAGAGAGAATCGGAATAATCTGAGCTTCAAACCACCATCTGAACCTCCACTAAGCTTTGTCAAAGCACAAATCCTCTCAAAGTGATCCAAATGCTCAAGAGGGTCTTGGTTAGGCAATCCAAAGAACTTCCTTTCTTGAACCATAGCAATCAAGCTGCTCTTTATCTCATAATGGTGAGTGTCCATGGGTGGAAGAATACCTTGCCTTGAAGCATAGCTTGATGATATATCTGCAGCACCTATAGGTCTCAATGGTCTTTGAACCAAAGCTCCTTGTAAACCATGTGGACCTTGCTGTCCTTGTAAGCCTTGGATCCCTTGAAGACCTTGTAGACCTTGCAACCCAAAACCAGCAGCATACTGATGTTCCTCCATGCTTCAACAACGGATTTCTGCTGCTGAAAATCCAAAGTCCTTGATCTTGAACCTCAGTTGTAGTTGGAGACACTTATGAGCAAGTGTTTGGGTTCCTACAAAAGAAATTCTAGACCAAAACAGAAATCACTAACCAAAAACGAAAATAACAAAGCTTGATCTCAAGATCTCTACAAATCCTACTGAACAAAGCATTCCCCTAATGGCAACGGTGCCAAATTGATACAAGAGTTTTGAGTCTCTTTCTCAATTATCCTTTGTACTAGTCATTGTAGTAAGGGTTTTAAGTCAATCCAAAAGGGAAAGATTAAAACAGTAGGAATGTAGTAGATTTCCTAATTCAAGGAGATATAGAGAGAGATTAAATGTCTAACAACCTAAGTGATCAAACAGAACTGAAGCAAACACCAAAATAAAAGTAAACAACAAGCAAATCAACTAGAACAAAGGTAAAAACAGAGAAAATTCAAAATAGACTAAAAACAGAGGAAGGACATGACTTGAGATGGAGTAATTGGTGCTAGGGAACTCTCAACTCAACCTACGATGCTTACAAACTCACACAATGTTATTCCTTATGCATATGATTCATTTATATGACTAATCCAATCTTTTGGCACTAATCTCTTTACTAATCATCAAATCAAGAACTAATTATCATTAGTAAAATAACAAACAGCAAGCATTAAGACAATCTATCATTCATAGATTGCCAAATCACTCCCTAGACAGCCAATCTCTTGAGCTAGGATAAGCAATTCTCTTGCAAAGCAGTTCAAGCATTTCATCAAATACTTGGTGGGCATAAAATGAGCCTAAGGTCCTATTCAACTTAGCTAAGGCTAATCAGGCAATAAACACAACAATCAAGAAAAAAAATAGAAGAATTAAAACTAAGCAACCACATATTAAGCCTCAAATACCCTAGACCTAACACATCTCAAAATCCCTAGGTCACTACTCACTAATCACCATCAAAACCATCAATTCAAAGAGAAAAGGATAGCAAATCATGATTAGAGAGATTAAACAAGAAGATAAATGCAAAC